ATTTATTAATTTTTATTTTCAGTGTCTGTGCTACTGGTGTTATATTCAGGAAGCAGTATCCTTTACCAATTCATTCAAGGGTACTTTCCACTTTCTCTTCTAAGAGGTTCAGTGTGGCTGGATTTATGTTGAGGTCTTTGATCCATTGGGACTTAAGTTTTGTGCATGCTGACAGATATGGATCTATCTTCAGTCTTCTACAAGTTAACATCCGGTTATGACAGCACCATCTGTTGAAGATGTTTTCTTTTTTCCATTGTATAATTTTAGATTTTGTCAAAAATCAGGTGTTTGTAGGTGGGTGGATTAATATCAGGGTTTTCAGTTCGATTCCATTGGTCTACCTGTCTATTTTTGCACCAATACCAAGATGTTTTCAGGACTATAGCTCTACAGTAGAGCTTGAAATCAGGGAAGGTGATACCTTTGGTAGTTCCTTAATTGTACAGGGTTGTTTCGGATATCCTGGGTCTTTTGTTTTTCCATGTCAAGTTGAGTATTATCCTTTCAAAATCTGTGAAGAATTGTTCTGGGTTTTGATGGGAATTGAATTGAATCAGTAGATTGCTTTTGACAAGATTGCCATTTTTCATCTTTATTATGTTGATCCTGCTTATCCATGAGCATGAGAGATCTTTCCATTTTCTGGTATCTTCTTTAATTTTTTTCTTTCACTTGTTTACCCCAAGATATTTTATATTGTTTGTTTCTCAGCTTTTCTTTTCCTTTTTTTTTTTCTTTTTTCTTTTCTTTTCTTTAGACAGGGTTTTTCTCTGTATTGCTTTGGAGCCTGTCCTGTAAATAGTTCTGTGCTGGGATTAAAGGTGTGTGCCACCAATAACTAGCTCTTTCTCAGCCCCTTTATCATAGGACTACTGATTTTCTTTTTGAGTTAATCTTGTATCCTACCACTTTGCTGAAGGTGTTCATCAGCAGTAGTAGTTCCCTGGTAGATTTTTTTGGGGTCACTTATGTAAACTATCATATCATCTGCAAATAATGAATGATTGAATTTTTCCTTTCCAATCTGTATCCCCTTGATCTCCTTTTGTTGTCTTATTGCTCTAGCTAGAACTTTAAGTACAATATTGAAGAGATATAGAGAAAGTGGACAGCCTTGTCTTGTTCCTGATTTTGGCGGAATCACATTGCATTTTTCTACATTTAGTTTGATGTTGGCTGTTGGTTTGCTGTATACTACTTTTATTATTTTTAGGTGTGTTCCTGTTATCCATGATCTCTCCAAGACTTTTATCATTAAGGAGTGTTGGATATTGTCAAAGGATTCTCAAGCATCTAGCAAGGTGATCATATGGTTTCTTTTTTTCAGTTTGTTTATATGGTGGATTACATTGATAGATTTTCATATGTTGAACCATCCCTGCATCCCTGGAATGGAGCCCACTTAGTCAAGGTGGATGATTTCTCTGATGTGTTCGTGGATTCCATTTGCCAGTTTTTTTATTGAGTTTTTTGCATCAATGTTCATGAGGAATATTGGTTTGTAGTTTCTTTCTTAGTTGTGTCTTTGTGTGGCTTGGGTACCAAGGTAATTGTGGCCTTGTAAAAAGAGTTTGGCAATGAACTTTTTACTTCTATTGTGTGGAACAATTTGAGGAGTATTGGTATTAGCTGCTCTTTCAATTTCTGGTAGAATTCTGTACTGAAGCCATCTGGCCCTGGGCTTTATTTGGTTGGAAGACTTTTGATGATTGCTTCTATTTAATTAGAGGTTATAGGTCTATTTAAGTTTCTTATCTGTTCTTGATTTAATTTTGGTAAGTGATATCTATCTAGAAATTTGTTCATTTCCTTTAAATATTTGAATTTTATGGACTACAGGTGTTCAAAGTGTAACCTGAAGATTCTCTGGTTTTCCTCAGTGTCCATGTTATGCCCCCTTTTCATTCCTGATTTTGCTAATTTGTATGTTCTCTCTCTGCCTTTTAGTTAATTTGGATAAAGGTCTTGTTGATTTTCTGGTAGCACCAACTCTTTGTTACATTGATTCTTTGTATTGTTTTATTTGTTTCTACTTTGTTGAATTCATCCCTCAAATTGATTATTTCCTGGGGTCTACTCCTTGGGGGTGTGTTTGTTTCTTTTTGTTCTAGGGCTTTTAGTTGTGCTATTAATCCTCTAATGTGACTATACTCCATTTTCTTCATATGGGCACTTAGTGCTATGAACTTTCCTTGTAGTACTGCTTTCAAAGTGTCCCATAAGTCTGGGTATGTTGTGTCTTCATTCTCATTGAATTACAGGAAGTCTTTAATTTCTTTCTTATTTCTTCCTTGACCCAGGAATGGTGCAATTGCACATTGTTCAGTTTCCACGAGTTTGTAGGGTTTCTGCAAGTTGTATTGTTGTTGAATTCTAACTTTAAAGCATGGTGGTTTGATAAGATATAAGGGGTTATTCCATTTTTTTTAAAAAAAATATCTGTTAAGGTTTGTTGTGTTGTCAAGTATGTGGTTGATTTTAGAGAAGGTTCCATATGGTGCTAAGAAAAATGTATAATCTTTTGTGTTTGGATAGAATGTTCTATAGATGTCTGTTAAATCCAATTGAGTCATAACTTCTGTTAGTGCTTTTGTTTCTTTATTAAGTTTATGTCTGGTGGTCATGTCTAGTATTGAGAGTGGAGGGTTGAAGTCTTCCATTATAAGTGTATGTGTTTTTATGTGAGATTTGTGTTTTAATAATGTTTCTTTTAGTAATGTGGGTGCCTTTGTATTTGGGGCATAGATGTTCAGAACTGAGACTTCTTCATAATGGATTTTTCCTGTGATTAATATGATATGATCTTCTTCATTTCTTTTGATTGATTTTAGTTTGAAGTCTAATTTGTTAAATATTAGGATAGCTACACCAGCTTGTTTCTTGAGTCCATTTGTTGGAAAATCTTTTCCCAAACCTTTACTGTGAGGTAGTGTCTGTCTTTGAAGTTGAGGTGTGTTTCTTGTATGCAGCAGAAGTGTGGATTCTGTCTTTGTATCCATTCTGTTAGCCTGTGTCTTTTTTATAGGCAAGTTAAGACTATTAATATTGAGGGAAATTAAGAACCATTGATTGTTAATTCTTGTTTGTTTGGGATTTGTTGTTGGTGGTGGTATTGTGAGGAGATTTACCCCTCTTTTTCTTTTGACTTCTGGTAAAGTGGGGTTATCTATTGCCTATGTTTTTGTGAGTGTAGTTAAGTTCCTTGGGTTGGAGTTTTCCTTCCAGAACTTTCTGTAGGGCTGGATTTGTGGATATGTATTGTGAAAATATGGCTTTGCCTTGGAATGATTGAGAGTTTTGCTGGGTATAGTAGTTTGGGCTAGTATCCATGATCTCTTAGTGTTTGTAGAACATCTATCCAGAACCTTCTGGCTTTCAGAGTTTCCATGGAGAAGTCAGATGTAATTCTGACAGGTCTACCTTTATATGTTACTTGGCCTTTTCATTTGCTGCTGTTAATATTCTTACTTTATTCTGTATGTTTGGTGTTTTGATTATTATGTGGTGACAGGACTTTTTTGGTCCAGTCCGTTTGGTATGCTTCTTGTACTTTCATGTGCATGTTCTTCTTCAGGTTGGGAAAGTTTTCTTCTTTGATTTTATTGAAAATGTGTTTCTGCCCTGCTGAGCTGGGCTTCTTCACCTTCTTCTATACCTATTATTCTTAGGTTTGGCCTTTTCACTGTGTCCCACATTTCCTGGATATTTTGTGTTAAGGATTTGTTGGATTTAAGATTTTCTTTTGGTCAATGAATCTATTTCCTGTTGTTTACCTTCAGCACCTGAGATTCTCTCTTTCATCTCTTGTATTCTGTTGGTTATGCTTGTATCAGTAGTTTCTGATTGTTTACCCAGCTTTTCTATTTCCAGCACTCCATCAATTTGTGTGTGTGTGTGTGTGTGTGTGTGTGTGTGTGTGTGTGTGTGTGTTTTATTGTCTCTATTTCGGTTTTCGGTTCTTGAAGTGTTTGAATTGTTTCCATCATCTGTTTGATTGGTTTTGTTTTTTATTTTCTTTCTTGGATTTCCTTGCTTTCTTTGAGAGATTTGTCGATTTATTGCATTTTTAGATTCATCTTTTCCTCTATTTCTTTCAATTTTTTTCTTCCATTTCTTTAAGAGATTTTCTCATATCCTCTTTGAGGGGCTCTATCATTTTCATGAAGTTGTTTTTAAGGTCATTCTCTTCTGCTTTATCTGCATTGGGATGTTCAGGTCTTGCTGGTATAGAATCCTGAGACTCTGGTGATGTCATATAAGTCTTTCTGCTGTTGGATGTATTCTTATATTGTCATCTTCCTATCTCTTCTTCCAGCGAGTACAGGTGAGGTCTCTCCCTCTCCTGGTGGGTATGGTTTCAAGGCTGTATTCTTTCGTCTCTCAATGAGGATGCAAGGGGCAAGACAGGAATGGTAGCTGGGTGCTTTATTCTGCTTCCAGGTATCTCTGGGGGATTTGGTGGCAGAAAGGGTTTGGCTGCCTCAGGTCAGGGTATGTGAAGAGAGGGAGGTGGGGGCAGTGGGAGTCCCACCCTCTACCAGAGGGTGGAGGGGCAAGACAGGATTCTGGGTGCTTTGAGTGTGCTGTTCTTGATAGAATAAAAATTTACTAGGTAATTTTAGCTTGGATTCTATTTCCTTTGTATTTGATGGGGTAAATATGATTTCACCATGGTAAATTCTATGAAAACCTCAAATAGGACCATGCAAACATATACAAGAGCCAAAGGCAAATATTTGCTGTGAGAAAGTATCTTAGTTCTCTTCTTTTCACAAAAGGTGGGATTGTTAAAAAAAAAAAATGTGTTCTCATAGTTCCATTCATTGACTACAATAACATCGATCTCCCTTACATTTACACAGTTTCAGCTTCAAGAAATGAGAGATTTGTATCTGCATCAAGTTTGTCTAAACCTGCTCCCAACCTCTCAAGTGATGAAGCTTGAAATCTAAGGCCAGCTTCCACCTGGGCTTGTGAAATGGCAAGTATGCCACTTTTCATTCTTCAGTGGGGAGAGTAGAAGAAGAGGAGAGAAACAGCCATCCAGGACTGCAGGGAGCCTATAAAAGGCACAGTGGCGGTACCAATTTTACCATTCAGACCAGAGTCAAGACACAGACAGACATGGCTGCTGCAGGCTGGCAGGCATTTCTGCTGACTGTCCTCAGCCTAGGCACCTTTGGTAAGCAAGCAAGATATTTTTCTTTTCCATCTAGATACTGGGGGGAAATTCAAAGACATTTCAAATATAATGAGGTGGTTTTTAGCTGTTAAACAGATTGTATTAAACAGGTTAAATTAAACCCTAAGCAGGTATGCATTTAGATTGTGAAGGTCATAGATTTCATATTGAGTTAAGTGAACACATGCATTTGACTTGCTAGGATAAGCTGGCTACATGAATCAATGTTTTACTTTTCAGAGCTGATAATAGAGGATTTAGGGTATTTCCTGTATACAATGCTAATAGGAATTGTCACTTTTCAGTGGATAAAATTTACATATAATCATTAAGGCTTGAGTTGTTTTTCCATGGTTACCAACTGTATCTACCATTAAGCAATCTATTAGTCACCCATTTTCAGTTTTCACAAAAGTAGTAGGTGCTCAGCAAGCATTTCCTTGGCATAATAAGATTGCCTGCTCAGCCTTGTGTGTCTACTTTGTATGCCCCACTGCCTTGGCTCCTAATTCAAAGTAAGAACTTGAGCACTATGGATTTATTTGTTCTTGCTGAGGAGTTTTTTACTTTTTTCCCCACAGCTCATCCCTGCAAAACTCAGGAGTTACGATGTTGGTGTATTCAGACATATTCTGACTTTATTCCTCTTAGATTCATTAAAAGTGTCTGGTTGATTCCTGAGGATATCTACTGCAGCAGGAAAGAAGTCATGTGAGTAGTGAAGATATGAGAAGGAGGGTGGAAACTCCTCCTTGGTGTTTTCTAGCTGGTGTTCTCCTTACAGAGTGTGCTTCTGTGGTTCTCAAACTATGAGTCATGACCTTTTGGTGGGTGGGGGAGGGGCAAATGACCCTTTCATAGGGGTCACCTAAGACCATTGGAAAACACAAATATTTACAGTATGATTCATGACAGTACCAAAATCACAGCTATGAAGTAGCAATGAAAATAAATTTATGGTTGGGGGCCACCACAACGTGAGGGGCTTTGTTAAAGGACTGCAGCATCAGGAAGATTAAGAACAACTCACTAGATGAAAAGACTGAAGAGTAAAGCTCTGAACAATATTATTCCCACACAGAATGGAAAACTATTACCCAATATTTGTGCTCCTGTTTCTAAAAATGATGTTCATTCTTTCCAGAAAAAAAAAAAAAAAACTAAACCTAACCAAACCAAAACATAAAACCAGAAGGCAGGTCTTGAATGGAAAATATCTTTGATTTTATAAACTCTGCTGAGTGGAATTAACTTTGAAGTTAATGAATACTCAAAAATCAAAGATGCACAGCCATGGGCAAGGATGTAAGAATAAGGGACCATTGGGAAATCTCTGCATTATACACTTGGATATCCTAGCATATATAATACCTCCTAATGACTCTTAGTGACAACTACTATTCTGGGTTATCAGCCTTGCAGATTGTAGGAAATTCCTCCACTCTTTAGTTATAAATTTTGTTATAACTCTCTCTCTCTCTCTCTCTCTCTCTCTCTCTATATATATATATATATATATATATATATATATATATATATATATATATGTAGCCTATTTTAGTTACCCATTGCTAGGTAATATTATTACCATAATAGACTATAAGGTATCTGTGGTTATTACTTCACATTCTGTAGTTCAGCATGCTAGGTGGCTAAGGTGGATTCTTTGCTCATTGGGAAGAGTAAGTGGATGAAGAGCCAAGGCCCTTAGCCACTGAGTCATGTCTCTGGCCCCTAGTATAAGACAGTGAACATTTGGACCACGGTGAAAGTGTGAAGAAGGCAGTTATCTGCAAGCCAAGTAGAGAGACATCAGGAAAAATAAGCTTGCCAATACTTTGGTCTTAAAGGCATAGTCTTCAGAATTTGAAGAAAATGCTTTTCTATTATTTGAGTCACTTTATCTCTGGTATATTAGGACAGCCACAACAAATTCCCCACATCATATAAATATCTCTGCATGAACTGACACTTGAGTGAATTCTGTTGCTTCTTACTCTTTAAAATCTTTTTATTTGACATCTAGGTATAAAACGAAAAACAATTACTGTTTATTTTGCCTGCTTTTGAATAAGTTAGTAGAAGTACACTGAATATATGTACCTTTTTGTATCTTGCTTCTATTAACATCATATTTTGTAATCCATTTAGCTTGCTGTATTTAGCTCATTTATTCATTTGAAGCAACAGTGTTTCACAACAATAACCATAATAATAAACATGAATAGAATCATTTACTCAATACACTATTGAATAAATCAATATTTGGGTTCTATCTAGGTTTTTGTTACTATACACACTATATATCTGTATATTCATGAGTTTGCTGTTTGTACTTCTTCAACTTTACTGGTGGACAGATTTGATTATTAGCCTTTTATACATAACTGGAATGGGCAACTTTTCCATTTTCTTCTTCAGGTGTGGCTTGTTTCTTCCAGAATTTATGACCTTTCATAAAAACCTTAGAAGCAGTTTGCAATTTTTCTGTGTAGTAAGGAGACTTTCAAATGTAATCCTTTCAAGTTGTAGCCTGGAAACTGACGGCTTTATAATAGCAATTTTTTCATTTTAAGAATATGGATTTGTTCCCAATTTTCTGAGAACATTTGCATTCTCTTATTTTATATTTTGAGGCAGGGGCTCACTCTATGTCTCTGTGTGCTCGTTTTAAGTGACTGTGAGAGAGATGGTGGTCTTGAACTCACTCTCCTGGTTTACTGGGATGATAGTTGTTCACTACCACACTTGTTATCATACTCTAATGTGCATAAACACTTATCATCTACTTCAGCTTTCTTGATTCACAAAAACTATCCTAGTCACCGTACACAACCTGATGCTATTCAAAGGATATGTTAATAAAATTTCACATTCCAGTTTTTGGTGCTTAGACTTAGCATTTCTTTGTTGGAATCACCCTTTTACTTGACCATGCTGTCTGGGAATAAGGCAGTATGATTTCCTCATTTGAGAACCTTATACCTTTTACTTGTCTCTCTAGTTTTGTTGAGATGGCTGCCATGACAGCAGGCTCCCTTGGCTTGCTTTTGTGTCTAAAGGGAATATTTTCAAGTTTGTGCCATTATGCACAGTGCTTTGTGGCTAATGTTTTTTATGTTATGTAATTGCTAAGGATTTGATTATATTACTTTTTATTACTAGAAAATTTTAAGATGTGTTATCTTTTAAATCCCTGGCATGTGCAGTAAGATGGTCCAGTCTTATACAAGTAACTACAAAATGATGCTTTATATGGTGGTAGAGTTTTGCAATTCTGTGGAATACAGAGCTAGTAGAATCCATGCATGCTCTCCCTGCTTGACAATAAAAGAGTCTTAAATAGAGCCCTAAAATCTAACAAAATCAGTGGACACATAGCAATAAAGGATACATAAATACATGGCTGACAAGCCTGTCAATCTGACTTTGATCCCAGGAGCCCATGCTGTGACACATACATGCACATGAGCAAATAATAACTAAACTTCAATTTTAAAAATTAGCTAGGCATACTGATGAAATTAAAAGTTCCATTCTACCAATTTGGTTAATATCATTGGCAAAATCCATGTGTTTATTTTAAGTGTATGCAGTCCATTTTGCTGATATACTGTGAGTATACTTATTAAATAGGCACAGTTGCTACTTACCAAAATACTTTATTTTTACAGAGTCTTGCTGAAAATGGGGAAATTAATTTGTTTGGATCCTGAGGCTGAATGGGTGAAGGCTCTTACCAGAACAATCAGTACAGGTAAAATTAAGGCCAAGAATCTTCATATTCGTATTCTCTCATTTTTATCTTAATGACAGACACTTTCAGAAATATACACAGATATGTTTTAGATGACATCAAATCTACGACAAGGTCAGAATATGTGTAATCCTGAGGCACCCAAAGCATACCCAGATCAGCATCTCTGGCCTCCCTTCAACCCTGCTGGCTTAGAAATGAGAAGGATAAACTCCCAAAAGGATATTTTAGCATCCATTATAACTCCATGGCACTCCTAAGCTTGAGAGTCACTAGTACATACCTTTCATTGAAGATTACAGTAACTTGACCTGTGTTATGAATAGCCTGACTGAATGTAAAGATCATATAAAATGATAATAAAGTATCTTGCGCCAATCAAGTAAGTAGGCTATTGGCCCATCTGTTGAATCAAACTTTAAGGAAAAAAAATTTGGGAAGAAAATGTTACCATTTCTTTAAATTAAGCCCCAAATAGAGTTTTCACATCAACGACTTAGACTTAAGAAGGAATAAAGAGCCCAGAGGTGGTATGGTAGCACATGCTTTTAATCCCAGTACTTGGGAGGCAGAGGCAGGTGGATCTCTGTGAGTTTGAGGACAGCCTGGTCTACAAGAGCTAGTTCCAGAACAGCTTCCAAAGTCACAGAGACAGAGAAACCCTGTCTCAAAAACAAAACAAACAAAAAGCAAAACAAAAATAAAAACAAAAAAACAAACCAAAAAAACAAAAAACAAACAGAAAGGAACAAAGAGCATGAAACAGGAAACAGAAAGATATTTGAATTAACTTCTGAGAAACAAAATAAAAGCAGAATTTTAAAGCTAAAGTACAGCAGGTAGGGAGGGATGGCCACTCAGGAGTTAGTTCTACTTTATTTCCCATCTAAAGCATCAGCGTTTTCAGGTCATCTGGGGTATGCTGTCCTGGTTGTGTCTCTGTTGCTATGATGAAACACTGATCAAGTCAACCTGGGAAAGGAAAGGGATTTCTGGCTTACAGTTATACACAGTCATTGAGGGAAGTAAGGGCAGAACTCAAGACAGGAACTTAAAGGCAGGAGCTGAAGCAGAAACCAAGGAGAAAAGCTGTTATTGGCTTGCTCCTCATGGCTTGCACAGCTTCTTATATACCAGGAGTTCTTGCCCAGGAGTGGGACAGCCCTCAGTAAACTGGATTCCCCCCAACATACATCATTTATTAACCAAGAAAACATCCCTGCAGTCATGAAAACAGACAGTCGGATGGAGGTAATTTCTCAACTGAGGCGCTGCTTCCTAAATGACTCTTGTTTGATTCAAGTTGACAGAAAGTACCCAGCATGGCCACCCTGCTAGCCACAAGCCTGCTTGGGGAGACCAGATTCAGTGGCAAAACTGTGGTTTTGTGTTCTAGATTTTCTAACTGTCACATATGGTGTCATTCTGGATAATTCTCTTAGAATCAGAAGTGCAGATGCTTTAACTTGTTCCTAACTTGATCCATCAGGGAGGCATAGATATTTAATTACTTTGATTGTTAACTTTCAACTGACCAACCACACAACTTTATTTTATTTCTCTCTCTGTGTGTTTTTAAATATGTGTTTTCTAAGAAAGAGTAGGTAACACTGTGTAGCTATGTAGTTATATGTGCTCTGCTTGTATTTCAGGTCTCCAAATAAGGAACTACGCAAGAACAGCACATCCAATGGATCCCAAAAGGCTTGTGAGCCTTCTTGAGTTTAGATATTCTCTAGATATTTCTTGAAACCCATTTGTGTGGATTGAGCACTGCAACAAACTCCTCTTTAATTCATCTTGGGGGCCTCTAGCTGCTTTTCTGACTTGATGATGGGAAGAGTGATAGGAACTGAGGTGATGAAACTATTTTTTATGTAGGAAAAATAAACCTTAAGTCTCAGATAGTAGGTGGGGCATTTCTCCACTGGACTCAGTACCTTTGTACACTCCATCTCTTCCACTGCTGTCCATCCTGTCTTTTAGTTTACTTGACTTTGTGGTGGATGCTCACGGGTGACTGCTTTCCTTCCCTCTCCACATCTTGGCATTACATTTCACGGCATCATATACCTTTTTGCTGACTGAAAAACTGCTTAACCTTTTGTCCTTTAAAACCGTATTGCACTTTAGTATGGGACACCACAGTACTGTGTCCTAAGGTAAGGCATGCTTTTCATCTCCAGTGGCCCAGACTCAAACACTCTTTTCAGAGATTTTCATTCACTAGAAAAATTTGAAATAAAAATATATGTCAATACAGGTGTGGTGGGACATGCACACAATACCAGCACTTAGGAAATTAAGGCAAGGAGATCATGAATTCAAGGCTAGCCTGGCTTACATAATCAGTTACAAATGAACTTGGGCTATAGGAACACTCTGTCTGTCTGTCAGTTTGTCTGTCTGTTGGCCTCTTACACACACACACACACACACACGCACAGAGAGAGAGAGAGAGAGAGAGAGAGAGAGAGAGAGAGAGAGAGAGAGAGATGGGTAGGTAACAAAGCAGCATTAATTGCATAATGTAATTATTTTAAAATTACTTTAAAATTTTTAGTTTTCCCCTGTGTATATGTGTTTGTGTTTGTGAATATGGGTGTGCAAAACCACAGGTGTCAGTCCTGGACATTTGCCTTGTTTGAGGCGGGGTCTCTCTGCTGCTTTCCACTGTGGATGCCAGGCTAGCTGATCTATGAAGTCCCATGGATTCACCTGGCACCATAGGAACACTGGGGCTACAGATGCTTGGCTTCACATGGATTCTGGGAATTCCAACTCAGGTCTTTGGGCTTGACCCACAAGCACTATGAGTCACCTGCCAAGGCCAATAATTTGTTTTGAACTTAACCTAACTTTCTAGATAATAGTGCTGAAGACTACAGACAAATTAAATTAGAGCACCATGGACAGGAACAACAGTAGGAAATGTTAGACTTCCCACATTTCAGATGACAAGGATACCACCGCACACAAGTGAAGTTATGGGAAACACTGAGCTACAGTTGTGCTCTGATCATTTAACTTCTTCCTGGCAGAAATTCTGCCTTGTCAACACTAATAAATATTAAATGAACAAACATACTCTTTCTGCTAGTCATTTGTGATGATGGAGCCAAAGCAGGAACACTGTCAATCAAGGACTTTTTGCAGACTCTGGATCCTTTGGCTTTCTCTAGCTAACTCTTGATGTTTGCCTTTGTCCGCCAAACTGGGTCCTCTCCTTTTCCTCCACAGTCTTTCTGTTTTATACAGTGACTCACTTGCTTTCCGTACAGTTCCAGTTTTTAATTCTTAGAAGAGATATTATTGATCATGGCGGTTCATTCGTATACATCCATCCATCTACCTGTGGACCAGCGTATGTGGTACCATGCTTCAAATGAGGCCATTTGTGCCCTCTCACTGCAGAACTAAGACATGCTTCCCAGATTCTAATGATATATTGGGTATTTTCACTATGATCTGCATCTATGTAGGCAAAATAAAATCAAACACAAATATTAAAAAAAAATATAAAACAAACTTTCTCAGAAGAAACTTTATTGTATTTTTTAATGTGGGTGTGTACATGTTGCATTTGCATGTATTTGGGTGCAGGCAGATATGGAGGGCCAGGGGGATAATTTTGTTTCTTAATCAGTACTGTTTTTTGTTTGCTGGCTTTTTGGAGACAGGGTCTTTCATTGTCCCAGACTCACCAAGTAATGGCTGGTTTGGTTGTGTATTTTATTGTGTTATACATATACACAGACACACACACACACACACACACACACACACACACAAAGACACACACACACAAAGACACACACACGTGCACACACACGAAGCCATGAGTGCGTTAGTGAATACCAGAGATAACCTTTGGGTATCTTCCTCTATTGTTTTACACCTTATGTTTTGAGACAGAGTTTCACACTCAACCTGAATCTTAGCAATTTACCCAGGTAAGGCCAACAAGCTCTCAGCTCTGGCTCTCTGCCATCCCAGCACTGTGATTATAGGCAAATGCCACCAAACACCATTTTTCACATTGGTGGTGGACAGAAAACATACACTCATAGCAATTTACTCACTGAGCAACTGTCCTAGCCCCTATGCCTTCAGTGTAGAATCTATGTACAAAATTACATATTTTACATGACTTTTATTTTTCCTCCAAAATGTAACCTGCTGAACATATTGAGGGAGACCTATCTTTCTTACCACTTTATTCATCAACCTGACCTTAATGGGTTAATGGAAAGAAATGTCAAAAAAACAAAAAATCCAAAAGATTAATTAAAATGATTTGAAGAAGAGAAGTGCTTGCCTATTATTTATTTTTAATTAATTTTATTTAAATTAAAAACAATCCGCTTTTATAAACCAATCTCAGTTCCCTCACCTTCCAGTCCTCCCATTCCCCCCAACATCCTCCCATTTCACCCCCCATCCACTCCTCACTGAGGGTGAGGCCTCCCATGGGGGATCCTAAAAGTCTGTCACATCACTTGGGGCAGAATCTAGGCCCTCTCCCATGTATCTAGGTTGAGGAAGTATCTCTCCATAGGAAATGGCCCCCAAAGTACATCCGTGCACTAGGGATAAATACTGGTTTCACTGCCAGAAGCCGTAAAGATTTCCCAAGCCCCACAAGTGACACTCACATTCAAGGGTCCTGGTTTTGTCTTATACTGGTCCCTAGCTGTGCATCGGGGGCCTTTGAGCTCCCATATACTCAGGTCAGCTGTTTCTGTGGATTTTCCCAACATGGTCTTGAGGGCTTTGCTCATCACTCTTCCCTCTCTACAACTGGATTCCAGGAGTTCAGCTCAGTGTTTAGCTGTGGGTGTCTGCTTCTGCTTCCATCAGCTACTGGATGAAGGCTCTAGGAAGGCATATAAGGTAGTCATCAATCTCATTATAGGGGAAGGACATTTAAGGTAGCCTCTCCTCTAATGCTTAGATTCTTACTTGGGATCATCCTTGTGGCTTTCTGGGGATTTCCCGAGTGCCAGGCTTCTCATTAAGCCCATAATGGCTACTTGTATTAAGGCATCTCTTTCCTTGCTCTCCTTTGTTCTTCCCCCAACTCAATCTCCCTGATCCCTCCTGTTCTCTTCCTGCCTCCCCTTATCACTCCCTATTCCTTCTACCTCCCTTCCCCTTCTCCTCATGCTCCCAATTTACTCAGGAAATTTTGTCCCTTTTCCTTTCTTGGGGGTCCATGTATGTCTCCCTTAGGTTCCTCCTTGTTTACTAACTTCTTGTGGATTGTAGGCTGGCTGTTGTTTGCTCTATGTCTAATACCCATTAAAGAGTGAGTACATACCATGTTTTTCTTTTTGTGTCTGAGTTACCTCAAGTAGACTGGTTTCTTTCAGTTCCATCCAATTGGCTGTGAATTTCAAATTGTCATTTTTTTTTCTGCTGAGTTGTATTCATTTGTATAAATGTATACCACATTTTTTTATTCATTGTTCTGTTGAGGGGCATCTAGGTTGATTCCAGGTTCTGGTTCTGGCTATTACAAATAACTATGAACATAGTTGAACAGATGTCCTTGTCGTATAATGGGAATCCTTTGGGTATATGCCTAAGAGTGGAATTGCTGGACATTGAGTTAGAGTGATTCCATTTTCCTGAGAAACTGCCACACTGATTTCCAAAGTGGCTGTATGAGTTTGCATTCCCATCAGCAATGGAAGAGTGTTCGCTTTCTCGACATTCTGTCGAGCATAGTCATTGGTGTTTTCTGATTTTAGTCATTCTGACAGCTGTAAGATGGTATCTCAGAGATGCTTTGATTTGCATTTCCCTGATGGTTAAGGATGTTGAGTAAATTCTTAAGTGCCTTTCGTCCATTTGAGAGTCCTCTATTGAGAATTCCCTATTTATATCTATACTCCATTTTTAATTGGATTATTTGGTCTTGAGTTCTTTGTATATTTTGGAGATTGGCCCTCTGTATAGGAGAAGATCTTTTCCCATTCTGTGGGCTGCCTTTTTGTCTTGTTGACTGTGTCTTTTGCCTTACAGAATCTTTTCAATTTCAGGAGGTCCCATTTATTAATTTTTGATCTCAGTGTCTGTGCTACTGGTTCAGGAAGTAGTCTCCTGTGCCACCACATTGAAAGCTACTTCCCACTTTCTCTTCTAAGAGGTTCAGTGTGGCTGGATTTATGTTGAGGCCTTCGATCCATTTGAACATAAGTTTTGTGCATGGCTATCGATATGGATCTTTCTGTCATCTTCTACATGTCAGCATCCAGTAATGCTAGTACTATTTGTTTGAAGATGCCTTCTTTTTACAATTGTATATTTTAGATACTTTGTAAAAAAAAATCAGGTTTTTGTAAGTGTGTGGATTAATATCAGGGTCTTCAGTTTTTCAATTTGATTCCATTGGTCTACCTGTCTGTTTTTGGGCTAATACAAAGCTGTTTTTGTTAATATAGCTCTATAGTAGAGCTTTAAGTCAGGAAGTGTTATTCTGCTGCAAGTTCCTTTATTGTACAGGATTGTTTTGGCTATACTGTTTTTTTTTTTTTCATTTAAAGTTGAGCATTGTTCTTTCAAGGTCTGTAAAGAATTGTGCAGGGATTTAATGGGGATTGCACTGAATCTATAGATCCTTAATGGTAAGATTGCCATTTTTGCTATTTTTATCCTAAGTATCCAAGATCATGGGAGATCTTTGCATTTTCTGATTTCTTTAATTTCTTTCTTTAAAAACTTAAAGTTTTTGTCATACAGGTCTTTCACTTGTTTGTTTAGAGTTACCCTAAAATATTTTATGTTATTTGTGGCTATTGTGAAGGGTGATGTTTTATGATTTTTTTTCTCAGATCATTTATTGTCTATATATAGGAGGGCTATTGATTTTTTTTTGAGTTAATTTTGTATCCTGTCACT